TTTGGGGTTGCGTTCGCGCACTCAAATCTAATTGTCAGTTTGTGCCACTGCAAATCCTTTGAAAGCACAGATTATTCAGTGTGTTATTTTACTTGACTTTTGCTAAATGTATATTTTATTTATTTATTTGCCATGGCTTATGGGTCCCGTGAGCAAGCTCGTATGAGGGGACAATTACAATTATGTGGTAAAATGATTAACACAAGGCGGTTGAACAATAATAATAGTTACAAAGCATAATACTCCTCCAGGTACAAAGTTTTGACTTTTTTCTTGAAGGCATTGATATTTAAGGACAAGAAGTTTGCAGGTAGATCATTATAGAGTTTTAAAGCAGAATTTAGAGAAGATTTAGCACCATGTCTAGTGGTGTTGGTGCTATTTAGGTGGAATCTTGATGCAGATCTTGTGGAGTGGATGTGAATGTCTTTATTTTTGTTGAGTGTTAAATCCGAGGATAAAACACCAGTGCTGATTTTGTGAATGAATGAAACTGATGAGAACTTGATTTGTACTGAGAGAGGAAGGACTCCAGCAATCCTATATACTGTGATGGTCGATTCTCTATGACGGAGATTAAAAATAAATTTCAGAGCTCTTCTTTGAAGGACTTCAAGTTCAGAGATTTTTTCTTTAGTGTTTCTGGTGCCCTACTCTGTCAGTCTAATATTTTCTATTCCAGCTTGGGTATTGTCTAAATAAGTAGGGTAAATTGTATAAAGTATCATTTACAAATTTGTAAATGTTCAAGATTGCCGTAATGTAATTATGATTGTTTATGAGTTGATAGTAATTGAGCTTTTTTATATTTGCTCGCCATATGTCCAAACCCAGCGAGACGCTTAGCTATTTATTTGTGATGTGAGTACAAACAGCTGTTAACGTAGAGTTTAATCTGATGTCAATAATGAAGAAAAAATGAACCTTTACTTGATTTGAAAGCAGTATCTCCTACTCACCAGCTTCATGGGTGTGAACTTGAAGAAATATCAAATATGAGTTTTATCAATATGCAGGAAATGTATTGTGGGCAAAATATTTTTCATAATTGTGAATGTTTAAGGTCATTAGCTTATCACATCTGTACTATCTTAGTTCCATGGGATAGTGTTTCAATCCTCTTTGCTGCCATATGTTCTGATGTTGATTGTTGTTACGGTTTTGAGGGCACTGTTTTGCTATCGACTGGAAAGACACTATTGACATAGAACGAGCAGCGCACCCTGTCTCCCGTCAATCTAATGTTCTAATGTTGATTGCTGTAACGGTTTTGAAGGCATCTTTTTGCCATCGACTGGAAATACACAATTGACATGGAACATTCACATTTTCCCCCATCAAATGGGCGACTGAGTCGTCTGCTTGCTTTTAGCTGTCTTACTCTTCAAAGTCCCTTGGTACCCCATGCTTCAACGATTTTTTGCAATGGTTTAGAGAGCATTTAGTTGCTATCGACTGGGAATGCATAATCAAAGAGCAGGGGGGAATTTACTGGTTTTTGCTTTCCTATGATTGATGTACTGGTTTAGAAGGTATTCAATTGCTATCGACTAGAAATGCACAATCAATGGTAAGCTAATCAGTTCTTAGTCTGTCCTCTACGCCTTTCTATCCTTTCCTAGAAATGAATACCTAGCTCAGTTGCAGTTGTTCAATTATAGTGTAATAGGCTTGCAACTTAAAGACCTATCTGATATCAATCATGAAAAATGAATGATAGAGATGATTGAGATGTTACA